GAACCTAAATAGTTCCCTGAGCTTCATAGGTGTCACTCCTGTCATCTTGATTGTACTCACTTTATAAATGTTTTACTCCTTGCTTACCAATGATAAGATCTTTGTTACTTCCTAATCTGTTCCACATACGAGAGAATATCGAGATACTAAAGTTTCTCTATTCAAACGCATGGTACACTACTTAATTTCTCCTACCTTCAGCTAGCTTCTTTGTAGGCATGTGTTATTAGTACATTACGTTTTATTAACAGACGGGCAGGCACACTTTTCATTGTATAAATGGCTGAGGCTGTTAGGTAGCTAGCAGATGGGAATAGCGTTGGGAAAACTGACCGTGCTTGGGAAATTGTTTTTGGAATATCTCCTCTGATAATTCACTATTGTTGAAAAGTAGCTTTATAGTGGCAAACTTTAGAGAGCTGTTTGTATGCAGCTGGGACTGAATTTACAGACTACCTTTCTCTGACTTGCTAAAAAGCTAAGGATTGACAACCCCTTTCATCCTGCATTATCCAGTGTAGCTTTTAACTCCAAGAAAACTATGTTCACAAATTGATGCTCTGCTCCTTTGGGGTTGGTGCAGAAACATTAAATTGTACTAAAATATTCATATGTGAGTGCATTTAGCTGAAAGCAATTGATGTGCTTTTCCCTAGAGAGAAAAAAAAATGCTGTATGGCCCTGCACTCCAGCAGACACCCTAACCACGCTTAAGAGTAATTACATAGCTTGGCTGATCAAAGGTTCTTAAAGTGAAAAAGAAACTGTAGTTGGGATATAGTTTAGTAATGTGTGCTTCTTGAATGGAACATACTCAGCTGCATCAAAGTACTACACGCCGGATAATTGTTTGATATGCAGTGTAATATATATGAACTAGTGTCAAGCCAGAAAATGTTTTATTGGGTTAATAGCTTGTAATTGGAAGGAATCTCTTGTATGAAGCAATTTTCATTACAGAGATTTCTTTCTAATTTCATTGTCCTTTCACTCTTGCAAAGAAAATAAAATATCTGAGCTGCCTTTAAAAAGAGTGTGTGTGCCAAAGGGGTTTATTAAACTGGCCTGTTTAAAAGCATGCCACTGGTAGGATGATAAATTGATGTACACTGAAGGTTTTCAGCATAATTCAGAAATTGGCATAAAAATCAATAGTAGCTGATGGCATGCTTGCAAAGTGACTACCTCATCTTGTGTTGCACCTGTGGATGCACAGCAGTCTCTGAAAGCAGCATTCAAAGTCGATGTAAGTTGCAACTGAAAACTGTTCTTGTGGTTCTCTTAAGCAAAGGTACCTCAACTGCCCCAAGGCAGCCTAAGGCATTTTTAAATATTCTCATCTATAAAAATGAAGTAATATTATATACCAAAAACTATTCTATAAATACTTGGAAGAGTCAGTATGCACAGGAAAATAACTGCATTGGTAATTATAATCATCCACATATAGCACTCTTGTGACATTTATCCAAACAGTGTGTAAGTGGCTATATGGATTCTGGAGCCAGTTGTGCAAATTCATACATGTGAAGTCTCATGGACTTGCTATAGATGCCAATATGTAAATTGGGTAGATTTAAAGCAGAAATAGGAGTTTAGAGCGTGGCTAAGGGGGATTTTTTCATTTTAATGATGAGCATACAATGACTCTCTCTACAAGACATACCATGGTCATGTTTGAAAAAAACAAAATATTGCTTTCTGGTGGTGCCCCTCTGCCCTCTGCTTCGAACGCTTCTAGGCTCTTTGGTCCATCCAGCTTCTGTGCTGCCTGTTCCCTCCATTGTGGTCTTTCTCACCACTAGCTCTCTTCTTGGGTGTCCCTTCCCCTGTGATGGTGTCTGCTGTCCACTTCATACAAAATAAAGATTTGTGCCATGGCTGTGACGCGTACTGTAACTATTTTCTGTGTGAAATTAAATTACTGTCAGGCAAGACAACTGTCTAACCTGATGCCGTGCCTTTATACCACCAAAACTTCCACTTTCCTTAACTTTAATTGCTTTTGAGACTTCATTTGTATCAGACAGTGCAGCAAGCCCCTTGGTACAGAATCTGTTTGCTGTTTTGTTGCACCGTTCTCATGTGGTGCAGCACTGGCCGCAGCCCTTCAGTGAAAACCTACCTGTGCGCAAGCACCAGGCAGTTGATAAATGCCACTCCGTGTCCTGGGCGTGGATGAGTGTAAGTGTGGATGAGCCACCTGGCAGCAGTAATTAGAGCAGCTTCCAGGGATCCAAAAAGCAGGGACTTGGAGGTTGGTGTAAAGCCATCTTTGTTTGCACCTGAGAGGTGCGATCTAGACTGATTCATGCCGTTTTGTGCCTTGGCGTGGGTCTCCTGCACAGATGAGCTCTGAGGAACTGAGATCTCCTTCCAGACCTTAATGTGCTCTCTGCTGCGATGGCAACACAATTGGAAGCGACGCTGCTCTGTGGTTTCTGCTTTCTGTTTTCCTCCCCCCACTTACTTCATAGTGCTTGTGGCCACAGCCCTGACTTGGGACTTTGAACACTAATGCAGTAGAAATGATAGGACCCAGCAAAAGGCCTGATAGAAATTAATGATTTCGGGGAAGACATCAAAACAAGGGTAATATCCTGAAAACAACTTAGAGATCCGAAATTCTGAGTCTTTTGTGACCTCTTTGGATGACTAGTTGAATTCTCTCCTTGGAGAGCACTCAACAGTCCTGAATCTTTATCATTTAGACCTTATGTGTCCTTTGTTTCCCTCCTACCAAATTGTAGAATAGATTTAGACTACGATTTAAGCAATCAAATCTATTTTATGGTATGGAACTACTGATAAGAAACATGCTGTCCTACGTGTTCTTTGTATGAAAACATTACTGAGGGGATCTGCTGTGTGTTACAGCCTGCTGCCTGGACCAGTTGCTTTTGGCTCTCTGGCTACGGCATGTAACCTAGAAGGGCATGGCTTAGAGGCATAATAAAGGCTTTTTAGACAAACCTGGTGATTTACAAATGTCCTTTTAATGAAACATCCTTGTCTTTCCTAGATATTTTAATGGAATATATACATAGGCATCTGGCTCCTGGTTAGTTGGATTCTTTCCAAAGACTGAATTTCACAATGTTAAACAGACTGATAAGAGTATCTGGTAGTCTGGATGACTGGCACTTAATGAATTGCTCTAAAAAAATCAAATTACAGTAATGTGTTTTTAAAAAGAGCTTGTATTAAAGACTATATGATGTTAGAATAATTTCTCCTGTAGCATCTGTTCTTTTATTTGGTATAATTAAAATATTGCATTCTTACCATGAGTTCTTATATGGACATATTACATTACACTGCAGCTGTGGTTAAAATGGATTGACCTCCAATCGTAATCTACTCAGTAAAAAGCTATTGAGGCCAGGAAATTTCTGAGTGTCTTCAACAGCTGTGTGGTTTTGTGGAAATACATAGACTAGATTCTGTGTTTCAATTTCAAAGCAAGCCTTTTTTAATAGGAAATACTTTGCTCCTGCTCTGTTTTCCCTTCTCTTCAATTTTTACAGGAGATAGCTTGTGTAGAAAAGTGTAGAAAAGCTTCATAAATTTTATTTATCTATTCCTATTTAAAAACCAATGTAATAGGGCAAGTCTGTAGCTGCAGAAACATCAGAAAGCAATATTCTTTTTTTTCTTTAATTGCTATAATGACTATCAGGCCTGCGTGGAACAAGCAGTCTGCATGGTCTCTGTATTTGAACACCTTCATTTGCCCGCCTGTTCTGCAGGTCTGTGCCTGTTCCACAGCTGTGCTTTGTTCTCTCACGTTAAAAGCCACTTAACTGTAATGCACATCTTCAGTTGCACAGGGATAAGATTTTTTTTGACCCTCTTACCCTCCCTGGCCCCAGAAATAATTTCTTGAATTAGATTTGTATGTTCTTAAATATGGACTAGCCTTGGTATTTTTAAAAGAGAAATTCTGTTTGTATTTCAGGGTTGCGTCTTTTCTAAGCCTGTATAAATGCCACCTTTGAATTGGTTTTGACAAATGATCCCCTAACTAGTTGTGTCTGTTAAAGTTTCCTCTTATTGAATGAGTTGATGAAAAGTACTTTCTTTGTTTTTCTTGTGTAAAATTAGGTAGCTAAGCAGTGCAGGTTTGACTGCTGCTTGGACTTGTGGTGGTGGGAAAACTGTCACAGAGCTGAAAACATACTTGGTTTTGGATAGATTATAGCCTGGATGACTTTCAGCCCACGGGGGAAAAATACTCTTCTGCTGTGAATTAAAACTGTTGATACAGATCTCTTTGTATATACATTTTCATCTATTTTGAATCTAAGTCTCTCTGGAGATTCTATATTGGGAGCCCCAAAGTGTAAAGATGTACTGCATGTTGGTGCCTACCTGGGAACCGTTTCTTTACTTGTCCTGTGTAGGAGTTGATAGTGAATGGGGGAAGAAAAGCTTTAGGGCACGTGAACACTGAGGGCTGGGGTAAATAATAGAAACTATTGCTACAAGTGCAGTAGCCTGCTTTGGTGTCTGAAATGTTTTATCCTGCCATATAGGAAACTTTTTAAAGGTTTAAACACCTGAATTTCAGCTTTGTGCATTCTGTCATATTTAAAGGGTTCTAGAGGCTTCAAACAAAAAAGCCTAGGCTTTCTCTTTCGGCAACTGCATTATCCGTTTGTAGGTTATCTTGCTTCATGTTTGTGTTGGGAATCTCCAGGCTCATGGGTAACGCTGATTGCCCTGTCCTTGAGCTGAGTAGTGTCTTAGGTTTGATGCAGTTCTCTCTCTCCTCTCCCCCCCCCGATCTGTCTTTGCCAGATGCTCCTTTGGGATTCTCCTTTTACAGTTACATTACATCCCCAAGTGGGGAAAGGAACCAATCATCAGATGCCTTTAATATCGAAAACTACTGTAATGTAAAAACTACTGCATGTAGTTGATTTTTGAGTAAGGTTTGTGAGAGCTTACTGAAACTATGTTGTGGATACCAAAAATGTCCCATTTTTGTTTTCTTCCAGGAACTTTATATTGCCGTGGGAATATCTGGAGCAATCCAACACTTGGCTGGGATGAAAGACAGCAAGGTATATAAAGATGGATGTGCTGGAAGAGGTTTTTGAGGAAGGAAATAAGTTTACTCCCTTGCTTTTACATCAGTACTCTAGCCAGTTCTCTGTTTTTTTAAAAATGTTAAAATTGCCAGTTTGTCTGCTTCTTTAAAACACGCTAGCCCTCTGAGCCTTGCCAGGAAACGATATTGTGGCAAAACATCTAACACAGTAGAAAAACGGGTAAAAAAAAAGTGGTAAGTAGAAGCATCTAATTGACTTTGTTTATTAAAAAAACTAAACAAAACACATGCCTGAATTCTATACAGTAGTTCCATTTGCGTTTATTTCAGTGTGACATATTAATTCATGCATAACAATGTGCAATTTGAATTATGAACTTACTATTCCATAAAGTAAAAGATGTCTCTGACATTCCTGCATTTAGCCATTCAAATGGAAACCTATTATAAAATGGCAGTAAAACTTTAAAAGGTTTAACTCATGAGTTGCCAAAGCAAATAATCTGAATTTGGATTTGCCGGTTTGGTCCACAGTGCAGTGTTTGGAAAGCGGAGATAAATTCCCCGCTGAATCATACTATCAAATGCCAAACATCAACAACTGTAGGTTGTCCTGCCTCCCTGCAAGAAATTTTAGAAAAAGGATATTTTTTTTTTTTTTCTATTTCCAGGGAACGAACTTATGCTTTCTGGCAGAAACCAAACCCAGAACTTCAAATAGCTTATAAAACTGTGGAAAAGGTTTGCAAAACTTTACAGGCAGATCCTTGTGTTTAACCGATGACAGACTAGTGAGTTTATGGGACTGGTAATTGTTCTCAGGAGCCAGCCTGTGTGGTAGGATGATCTGTGCTTTCTTACAATTAGTTCTTTTTGTATATATTACTTAAATATTTTTTGGAGAAAAATCATATAAGCTGGATTTGGGATACAGCACCCTTTTTGGGCCCTCAGTCTTCTAAAATCAGGGACCAGAGCAGTGTTAGCATTAGTTGACACAGTGGAGAAAAAACAACCAAAATTAGAAATTAAGGATGAGTGATGGGCAGGGATGAAGGTCACTATCAAGAAGTGTGAATAATAGTATCTGCAGCAGTGTACTCTCACTGCTCTTAGTGCAACAGCGTTGCTGATGTCTATTCTACTTACGGTGCAGCAACAGGAAGACAACAAGGCCGGGCAGACAGCGGGGGAGTCAGAGAGAGCAGCACCGAGGTGGCGCTGCCAGGGTGGTCCTTGGCTCCCGCTGGGCTCTGCTGGCAGCTGATGGGCCACAGCGTTGAGTGTCATTTTTTTGAGGCATTTAGTCTCTAATTGTGCTTTTGGGTGAGGGAGAAGGTGGGTGGGTGGGATTAGTATCAGTCATTGACTGAGAACTGTGCATTTAAAGCTGTTTAAAACTCGGTCTGACCCTGTTTGTATTTATCTCCTGCCTTATCTCAGTTAAGACTACCAGCAATACTGGGAACCTATTACTTTTAAGTGCCAAAACTTCCTTTGGTATGAAAATGTTGAATAGCAATATTGTCCTGTACTGTAACAGCAAATCCCCTGCTTTTTTGGCTTTTCCTGCCCTGTTTGATATTTTGAGATGTTGTTTTAAAGGAAATGACAGATGAAATTTGTCAATGCAAGATGCATACTTCAGTTTCATTTCTCCTGTATATTGTAGGTTTTCTAGTGTAAACAAATGTGTGTATTGTAAAATTCAGTTTTACTTATTTGTGTTTGAAATGCATTCCACTTTCCTTTTAGCCAAAGAATGTAGGTGCTGAAAAGATCCAATTTTTACAAACATAAAGAATTATACAGTCATGGGAACTCTCTGGAGTGTCCCCTGTCTTCCTCAGCATTGTTACCTGGCATTCTGAACTTGTACACTTCAGGGTATGTTTCCCAAAGTAGTCAGATGCTTTCTAACAAGTGAAATGTATAATTTATTTGTCCTTTTACAGCAAGGTAGAAAATGCAGCTTTTGAGGAGACCTGGAGAATCATCGTTGCTTTCTTTACTTATTTTTAATTCCCTTTATGAGGTAGTTACAGTATCTTTCCTTTAAGAGATTTAACTTGCAGCGTTCTGTTGCAAGCAAGGGGATGCTTTTGCTTCTCACCATGGAAAGGCTGATTTAGGGATAAGGTAGAGAACCAGATCTTACTAAGAAGTTACTTCTGGAGACAGAGGAAGGATGAGGCTGCCAAACTAAAGCTTAAGAGAGTTTTGCAACTGGTGTTAATTATTTTTGTGATAAGGACAGAGCTGGCAGCCCCCAAGCTGTCACCACCTGCTGGCCCTCAGCCCCTGTAGCCACATGTCCCTTTGAAGGGTTCTGCAAAGGGCCTCAGAGTACAGGTAGAGGAAGTCTTTATTGAGCTAATGTCCTCGGGTATGGCGGCCTGGATTTTGCTTCCTGCACTGTGGAATCGTCAGCAGAGGCTTGCATTTGCAAATGGGGTAACGGAAATAAAAACAATAAAACTTTGGGAAAAATATTTCAGGGGAAGTATTAGGGGAATACTTGCAGGTCTCTGCTTACGAGCTGGCAAGAGGGCAGCAGCAGCGCTCTGCTGTAGGTATGCCCTTCTTGCGTATATGCTGTGGTCCTTCGTTATAGTGAGTCACAGGATACAAATGACCTGTGAAGAAAACACATTTCTGTGGGCCTGAAAACACAGGATTTGCAGACTTTTATCTTTTGAGTTACTGCTACTGGGCATATGCTACTGTGCCATTAGTTGTGCTGGACAATTACATTCTGTGGAGGGAGTGAAACAGACAGGTGAACTGTGGATGGCAGGTAAGTGTGCTGAAGCGTGGCGCTGGCGCTCTCCTGAGGAGTCTGGGTGCTGCCAGTCAGCGTTCACAGGGGCGGGATTGGGGTGCTGGGGTTTGCACCCCTGCTTGGTGTAAGGCGCAGTTTATGAGCTGTTGTCTTCCCCTCCCCATCCTTTTCGGAGTGCTCCCCAGCCTGTTGTAGATTTTTTGATGTGGACACCTGTGTGTATTTTGCTGGAAGCTGTCAGATATTTACAGAATGATTGACCTGTATGGTCAGTGGAGTTTAAACCAAAAAAGACATTGTCTAACCTGTTGTGTTGGGATTTCAGTCAATCGTGGGGTTTTTTTTGTGTGTGGCAAACTAAATGATATAGTAAGTACTGAGGCTTTTATGCATGGCTTTACTGTACTGTTTTAAATGCTACCTCTGAGTTATTTCTGTGATGTTATGGCTTAGATCTTGCAGATAATATTTTGTAGTAATTTTTTTTTCCTAGATTCTTTTCAACAGGGAAGGATAGCCCCAATGTATACAATGAGCAGGGAGGGAGTGCATTTGTTTTTATTTCTTTTTAGGTGGAAAGGAAACACATTTAAGTAAGTGCTGCGATTCATATCTTCTGCTTCTAGGGGCTTGGAGAGAATTTAGCCCGTTTCTTAGATAAGGCCTGTCAACTGTAAGCCGGCCCTAGCCATTAATTACAGATATATTTTCACATGGCGCTCTACTGTTGCTTGCAGACCATTGTTGCCATTAACAAGGATCCAGAAGCTCCAATTTTCCAAGTGGCAGACTATGGACTGGTGGCAGACTTATTCCAGGTGAGGCTAAACTTGGAGCTGCATGGGATAATGGTGGCAGAGATCTAATGATAGCTGAGATGACACAATAAGTGTTAAACAAAGACAGCTGGGTGAGGTTGTGTTTTTAAAGAATTGGTTTTATGATTTCATTATTTTCAGTCTCAAAATTCAGTCCCTGCCAGTAGACACTTGTGTGTGTGGTTGAGGGACGTGTCACAGCCTCTATCCTAGTTTCCTGAATATGAACCATCTTGTGAGCTAACTGCACATAGGTGCTTGCATGTATTTTTAAGTAAGTGTCATAAAATACAAAAGTATAGAGGTGGCAGGAGAAGGTGCTATTGTTGCCTAGGCTCCCTGCCTTACTGACGCCCATGAGGAACTTGCAGCTCTCTCTGGGAGAACTGCACTGTGAGTTATCCTGTGGCCAAGTGCCTATGGCTCGCCTGCGCGAGCCGCCTGCGCACACGGCCACACGTGTGACAGGTGGGAGCTGCAGTGGCTCTATGGGGAGGTGCGGGCAGAAACTCTGCCAGCGCTTAATGCCATTCCTGAACTAATGCCCGCTGGCTCGGCGGTGAGCATGGGCCTTTTCGTAAGCTAGAGACAAAGTCCCATTCTGAAGAAACACCATGTAGACAATTTCCTTAATAAATTTTGTACGAATGCATTATTTCCACCTAATGGAAATGCAGCCCTCTTAAATAATTAAGAGGCTTTATTCAGCGGGAGAGAAGTGGGGAGTGCTGCGAGCTGGGGTGACCCACAGCCCCTGGAGTGGTGTGCTGGGTACGAGGGTGGGGAGTGGGATTGGGGGGTTGGGTGCTGCGCAGGGTGAGTTTGGGGGGGGGGCAGAGAGAGAGCACGCGCTACCCCAGCACTGGTGTTTGCAGGCGGTGCCAGAGATGACGGAGCTCCTGAAGAAGAAGTGAGTGATGGTGATGGACCCTGCACTGCAGTTGGGGTGTGGGGTGGGGAATAAGGGCAAATAAAAGATTGTACTGGAAAGAGGTGGGGTCACTGTGGTGGTGGGTTTTTTGTGGTGGGCAATGAGATGGCACATAGAGTGATGGGGGTGGGGTGGAAGAAAGGATGGAAAGGGAATGAAAGAGGGATACAAGGCAGGAGGCAGCAAGTGTTTGTCAGTGTTTATTCCTGTTCCCACTCCCTCCCAGCCATGCTCAGCCCCCAGGTAAGGTCAGGCTGGGGGCCAGCCTTCGCCCAGGCTGTCCAGCAGCTCTGTCCTGAGCCAGGGCACTGTGGGTCTGTGCTGGTCCTGGACAGGTGGAAGGTCCATGGTGCTCCTGGGCACTGTTGGGCTGGCACCAGGCTGCTGGCAGGACAGGTCCACAGTCCATCTGTCCTCTGCAGGCACTGTGGGTCCATGTTGGCCTAAGATTGCTGGAAGGTCCATTGTGCCCCAGAGGACACTGTAGGTCCCAGCTGGCCCAAAGCTGGTAGCAGGGCAGGTCCCTCATGTCCCCCAGGCACTGGTAGGCAGAGGGGATGCCGGCTTGGCCCCAGGCTGGTGGCCATTGCAGGAGATGCCACGAGTTGCCTCCAGCACTGCCTCTCTGTGGCAGCCTCGTGACCCAGCGCAGTGAGTGTGTCCCCACAGGTGTCCCCATTCCTCCAGGCTGTTCCTATGCCTCAGGAACCCTGCCCACCCGTGGCTCTGGGGGCCCCAGGGCCCCGTACTTCTCGTCGATCACTGGGGCACCCTGTGGGCAGTCAATGAGGGGCTTGAGCTGGAAGACGTCGAGGCTCTCCTGGTTCCTGCGGTTGTAGACGCTGAGCCGGTGGCCCAGGTCTGGGCTGGCCCCCACCGAGCCCACGGGGCTGGGCAGCTTCAGGTTGACTGGATCCAGCCCCTTCTGCCCAAGGCAGGCCTCTTCGGAGAGGGACGACAGCAGCTCCTGCACCATGGCCTGGGCCACCCGCTGCCGGGCAGGCACCAGGTCAGCCTGCGGGCCAGCGGTCCACAGCATCCTCGCAGGCCGTGCTGCAGTCCGGGGAGGAGCCCAGCGTCTGGCTGCTCTCGCTGCAGGCCTGGGTGCCCGAGCTGACGGTGGAGCGTGAGGCACTGCCCGACGTGATGCTGGCGGACGTCCCGGTGCTGCCCAGGCGCATCGGCACCTCCACCGTGAAGAGGTCGGAAGAGATGTTGGGGCGATGGACATCAATGGCAGCGGTGGTGACCACGCAGATGGCTGCCTCGGGGACACCGCTGTCTGCAGGGAAGAGAGCAGAGAGAGATGGCTGAAGGCCGGGCAGCGCGCTGCTGCGGGGATGGTCCCAGTGCAACCGCCACATTGGCAAAACCACTGCACCTCCCCTGCCCTACTGCCTGCTTTATATAGCTATTTTGTGTATGTATGAAAGAGCAATGTATACCACACAGACCCCTTTATTTATATACCTTTTTCATATACATGTATGTATAAATACATGCACCTTTATGGAGGGTCATATGGAGATTTTTTTTATATATATATACATAATGGGCATACACATATATAAATAATACCATACCACCAGATGTGTGTATATATTATATAAAATACATATGTGTATATATACACACCTATAATACATATTATCTAACTTTATACACACACCCCTTTATATATAAATACATGTATATTGTTTTGTATAGAAAGAGAAAGAATGTATGTAAAGTGGTATACATTAAAGTGATATATATGTAAACATTTCTATATATGAACATATCCCTGCATAACCCCCAAACCCTTTATTTATATATCTTTTAAAATATATATATCTATATCCCTATGTCTAGAGACACGCATCATTCATATATATCCAAGTATATAATGCGGTTGTATAGAAAGGGCTATTAATATATATTTAGTATTTATATAGTAATATGAATATATAGTATATATAAATATATATTGTTATATATTATTTTTATATAGAATAGAAATGCATATAGAGGAATACACAGCTATAAATAATACCATATACCTATATATGTACACACATAGTATATATGCACACAATTGCTTGCACACCCCAACCCATTCTTTATATATATGTATTCCTATAGATACGAAGGTATGTATATGTATAAGGAACTACATATATAATACCTAAATATGTACACACAGACATTTGATACATACAGTACATAGTTGTGTCGTGTCCCCCCCCCCTTAAATGCATGTAATTAGCTACTGTTAAAGCAGAAGACATGCACACCACACTGTTGAGGGGTTTTTAGATAAATGTGTCTGTGTGTATCTACATGGGTAATGTATATACAGGGCTATACATACATAATACATCAGACCTATACATGAACTCTCTCTCCCTTTATTTGTACAGCTTTTAAATTATATGCACACACATATGCTATATACACCTTTTTATATATCTCTGTATGTATAGAATAGGGATCTATACACTGGGATATACAACTATTAATATGCCTGTATATTTGTGCACATGCACAGATACATGTTATATAAAATACATAATGTATATACATAGTAAGTGTATATATTTCATGGGAATGTTTTTATATGTATAGATTAAAAAATACATCATACCAATACATGAGCCCCTCTTTATTTAAATACCTCTACATATACACGCATATCGATACATACATCTTTATATGCATCACCATGTACATCATGGGGACAAACACAGAGGGCGATACATCTGTAAATAGTACTGTATACCTCTGTGTGTGCACACACATAGTCAATATAATACAGTTATGTGTCCATATACTATCTCACACATATTTTATATATACATAATATATAAATATTATGTGTCAATATAGGTTATAAGGAGACCCATACATATCATACAGTATACATGTGTACACACATTCGATACATACAGTATATCATACATAGCCCCCCCTTTAAATACAGATAATTATCTTTAAATAGAATACACATGCTCACTCACATATATGCATACCTTTAGATATAAACATATATGTATTTCTCACTGTGTACGTACATGAGGCATGTATATATAGGGATCTATAGATATCATACTATATACCTCTACACGTACACATGTATGTTATATAATACACAGATATATACACAGTCCCTCATGCTCACCCCCCCATTTCATATACATATAACCTTTGTATAGAGATTTATCTGTGTGTTTGTGTGTGTCGTTAGGAGCCCCATGTATAATACATTATACCTGTATATGTACAGACATTTTATATATATATACACACACACACACACACACTATAGTATATGGTCCCCTCTTTAAAAACATATAACCATCTATCCTGAAATTGAATGTGCACAATCCTCCTACATTTATATATAAACATATGTATATATTTCTCTCTGTGTATATATATTTAGGGGATATACATACATACAAAATACATCCTACCTATACATTAACACACATTTCAATACACACATCTTTATATATATCACTTTGTATAATGGAGATGAATATAGAGGGATACACATCTATAAATATATATATAAAAAATATATCATACCAATATATAACCCCCCCTCTTTATTTAAATACCTCTACATACACACACATCAATCCATACATCTTTATACGCACCACCATGTGTATCATGGGGATAAACAGAGGGCGATACATCCATAAATAGTACTGTATACCTCTGTGTGCACACATAGTCTATATAACAGTTATGTGGCCATATACAGTCTACCTCACACATATTTTATATATACATAACATTTCACTATAGATGTGTCGACATAGGTATGGGGAGGTTATAAGGAGACCCGTACATACAATACATATGCCTCGGGGGGGCGTGGCCTCCTGTCTCCACAGCAGCCCCAATTGGGGATAAGGGAGAGGGAGTATCCTCCGGGGGGGTGGGGGTGGATGTCCCCCGTGGGAGGAGCTTCCGTGGGCGTGGCCTTCTGGGGGCATGGTACAGGCCACCTGCTGGGGAGCCAGGAGGCCACGCCCCCCTTGGAGCCACGCCTCCCTGGAGGCCACACGTATTCTCTATAATACAGTGATCTGTCCATATACAGTCTACCTCGCACATATTTTATTTATACTTAGTATTTAAATATAGATGTGTCGATATAGGTTATAAAGAGACCCATACATATCATACAGTATACATACATATGTACACACATTCAATACATACAGTATATCATACATAGCCCCCCTTTAAATACAGTTAATTATCTAAATAGAATACACATGCTCACTCACATATATGCATACCTTTAGATATAAATGTATATGTATTTCTCACTGTGTCTGTACATACACGAGGCATGTATATATAGGGATATAGAGATATTATACATTATACCTGAACACACACCCTCCCCCTTTATTTAGACAGCTTTTTAAATTGTATATACACAGCCCTTTTTTTTTTTTAATAGATCTCCAAATATATTATGGGGATATATAGAGGGATATATATTTACAATAATACTATATGCCTCTACACATACACATGTACGTTATATAATACACAGATATATACATGGGCCCTCGCGCTCACCCCATTTCATATACACATAACCTTTGTATAGAGATTTATCTGTGTGTTTGTGTGTGTCGTTAGGAGCCCCATGTATAATACATTATACCTGTATATGTTCAGACATTTTATATATATAAACACACTATAGTACATGGTCCCCTCTTTAAATACATCATATAACCATCTATCCTGAAATTGAATGTGCACAATCCTCCTACATTTATATATAAACATATGTATATATTTCTCTCTGTGTATATATATTTAGGGGATATACATACATATAAAATACATCATACCTATACATTAACACACCTTTATTTATGTAGCTATATATACACATATTTCAATACACACATCTTTATATACATCACTTTGTATAATGGAGATGAATATAGAGGGATACACATCTATAAATAT